TTTAAAAACGGATAAAACTTTTTTTGTTTTTACTTTATATATATATATATATATATATATATATATATATATATATATATATATATATATATATATATATAAGCAATCCACCCCAACTAAAGGCGATAAGATGCAAGCGGGTTACTGGGAGTGAGAAAGAACAAAAAAGAGTTTAAAAGGAACCGGAAACTTAATCTAACTAAAGAACAAAGGATAAACATCTACTTTTGTTCCAAAGAACAGGGAAGATCTTAAACAGGACTATACATATATATATATATATATATATATATATATATATATATATATATATATATATATATATATTATCGTATTCACAAGTCATCGTGACCGAGTGTTTCAGCCTACTGGCTTTGTTCACCTTGTTGATCACCCCAGATAATGCGCACTCTCTCGGAAACTGTGAATTAAGTCCGTTCAGTATAGTTGCGGTATAAATCACACGTGGGCTTTACGGCTTTTAAACAAACACAAATGTTCCTGAGCACGTGTTTGCAACAGGGATTAGTTAGCCTCCTTAATGATCTCAGAAACGAGTAGTTGGTCATCATTTATTTATATGCTGTATTCACCCTGTACAAGGCCAGAGGTTCACTCAATGTAGATGCTTATTAAATGTGATTGTTATAGAGACATACAAGAAGTGAGTCAGTGGGGCATATTATGTGGATATGTACGACAGCTTACGGCTGATCCTAGACTTAAAGAGGTTAAAATATTAATTATTGATGAAGTATTCTTTCTGAGAGTCTGGGAAAGAAGCTGTCTGAGGGAAACTTCCTCCTTACTAATGGTATACGAAGAGAATGAGTCTTCGACGTACGTGGGATGGCGTGCCCTAGCTGTGAATGTATGGACTGCTGTAACTAAAGAATGTAATTCGTCTGAACATCTACTAACAACGGTTCTTCTGTGTGAAAGGGGTGGTAGGATTTAAAATAATTCATCACTCACAAGGCTTCGTAAACGCTTTTGAATTCTGGCTGTAACGTGGGAAGGTGAGGACTCTAGATAGTGAAACAGCACCCTCAAGTGATATAGGCAAAAAACCTACCTGGATTAATTGCCAAAAAACAAAATTCAGTGCGCTTCATCATGCATGCACACATCGGTCATAAACCGAGCAGCTTCGAGGAAACATGGCGGTGTCGAAGCAGCTTGTTTTCTGTGTTATGATTTTAAGATGGGTTTGTCTGCAGCCGCATCAAGTCGCCGAATATGTCAAGTGTTTGGGGATAATGCTGTTAGTGAATACACAGCCAGGTACTGGTTCTAGAAGTTCAGGTCGGGAGATTTGCCCCTTTGTGATGAAACCCGCAGTAGCCGGCAACATGTCCTGAATATCGAGATCCTGAAGGCACCTATTGAAGTGGCCATCAGCCAAGTCTGCGGTGAGCTTGCCGAATGCTTTCAGGCCAAATGCACTAATTACTGAAATGATTTTGACCATCTTCAACTTCCAAAAACTTGCGAGTTCAAACTTCAATGAGTCAGAATTGATTATTTTCCTTTTGCTTTATATTTGCATCAAAAGGACACTATGATTAACCCTTTCTTTTCTGATTTTATCTTTGAATAATATGTCCGGTTTGTTGTGCACCAATTTCTTATTTCTATTGACGACATCCGTTCGAGTTGCTTCACGTATAATGACGTATAATAAGGACATGTTAAATCACCAAGTGTAGCTAAGACCGTTCTTTGGGCGATTTTCCCCTGGTTTAAAAAACAAAATATAACGATATGAAAGAAAATAATACTACCCATAAAAAATATAGTAAAATTTCAATGATACACGTTTCAAGGAATAAGAACAATTACAATAATAAGAGTCGGCCAATACCTGCACTGGAAAGTCTGCAACTTTTACGGGAAAAAAACTGCAAGAAACTGGTATGAACATCTCCCAGGCCCGGTTACGAAGATAGGACCTGTAACAATTTTATGAGACTTTACAATACACACAGACAAAACAATCAAAGCTAATCGCCCAGACATCTTGGTCAAAGACCGCAAAAACAGAATATGCTTTCTTATTGACATGGAAATCTCTGAAGATTGTAATGTGTCTTTCAAGATCTTAAAAAAAAACTACCAATGAAGTCGAAATCTCAAAATGTGGCGCATGAGGTTATCAATAATTCCAATTCCACAAAATACTTCTAACTTCTTATGAGAAAACCTTTTTGGTTGTATCATTACTTTTCTTGTTGAACCCCCTCCTCCACTTCTCACACACTATCATCATCATCATCATCCATATATTTTAAATTTTGTAACATTTTAATAAACCAAATTTTAGTGCTAATTATCGAATTAATCCTAATGGGCCCCAGGAGACATCCTGGGAAGAATATCACTACGTATGACTGCAATTGAAAATCTCTTGAACAGCCAGACGTCTTCAAGCAACTCGGAATTCCATGGAGACTATTCGTCAAATAATTTTGACCTTTTGGGAACGAATAATGATGATGTCTCAGTTGCGACTGGCATAAACTCATATCTGCCAGACAATAATATTTAGACAAATATGTTCCTCAAATATTATTATTATTTTCAATAGTTTTTTCAATTTTCAATTATTATTATTATTTCTTTTGATTTCTTTTGTATACACATTTCCTTCCGGGTTCCAACTAGAGAACTAAGGTCAGAAATGGCTTCAAGAGATTTTCCACGGATCATTTTTGTAAAAGAATACAAAAAAAACAAGATCACACACATTATACATAGATAAAGCTCTTTGTAATGTGTGAGCTGTACTTGCGAGTTCAATTTTTTTGTTTTTCTTTAAGGTATGGGCTACTAGGAATCTCTTCAATGATTCTATCGGAAAATTTTCAATCAATGCGAGGGCGCCAACTACAATTGGAATTATTAATATACTCATGTGCCGTATTATTGAGATTTCCACTTCAAGATCCTTGTATTTTAATAGTTTTTTGAAGTTTGGGCCTCACTGTTTCCCTAATATAAAATTAAACATTTAGCACCAAGATTTTAAACGACATAACATAAAATAGCTTAAATTATAATAGCAAAATCATTTCCAGTGCATTTTCATAGTAAATTCGCTTTCCAATGCATTTTCATTGTAAAATCACTTACCAATGTATTTTCATAGTAAAATAACTATCCAATGCATTTTATAGTAAAATCACTTACCAATGCATTTTCAGAGTAAAATAATTATCCAATGTATTTTCATACTAAAATCACTTACCAATGCATTTTCATAGTAAAATCACTTTCCAATGAATTTTTATATTAAAAATCACTTTCAACGCTTTTTCGCATTAACATTGATCTGTAAGTGATTGTGTCTCTTATAATGTCTATTGATGCGAGTTTGTTTGACCATTGGTAATGAGTTCCATCATTATTAGTTGCCAGGTACAAAGCTTCATATTGAGGATCGACATGTAAAATCAACCAACTCATATACGAGAAAGTGCTGAAAAGTTCTCGATTCGACCAACTTCCCAAAATATTACTCAAGTTACTCACCCACTCACATCCCGTATAGTCTCTGAGGAGTATGGGGCCACAGCTCTCAGCATACAAGACATGGCTTCTGCAGTTTCCATAGTAAGTAGTAGATTAATATGGGATGGAGTTGCATTCAACTGGTTTTGAATTCAAAGTTGTCTTTCTCCTAGACTTCTTACCAACCACGACTAAAACGCACAGTCTACCCTATTATTTAATCCATAGATGGGGGAGAAGGACTCATATATTTCCTAAATGTATTTGCATGTAAGTGAATGTAAAGGGTTCGACTGGAATTTGAACTCTTCTCTCAAATTTCTCATTCC